AAAAAAAAAAAAAAAAAAAAAAGCCCAAGTGTGATCATCTTACTCTTTTTTAACGTCTTTTACAAACACAGAAGCTCTTGTGCCCCTCTATCCAGGTCAAAGGATACTCTAGGCTGCAGTCACACGGAAACACTCTCCTGGCTTCCGTCATCCTGGCTCTCATCACCCTGCCCCCTCTTTGCCTGGATAGGTTTTACTTTTCATGACTCAGTTCAAGTTTCACCAGCACTCCCAGAAGCCCTTTCCTTGTTTTTCCCAGTGGCAGCTGAAGTGCCACCCCTGAAGCACTCTACTGTGCTGGTGAATTTTCTGGTCAGCCTGTAGAAACAGCCAAGAGATCCTTGAGATCAGGAGCCGTATCTTATAAAAAGCACTTTCTTCTTATTAACTAAGGGATTTAATGGAGGAAAGCCATAGATTTGTTTTCAAATCATTTTTAGCTTTGGGCAGTCTTGGCTAATAACATGGGGGTATCAAGAAATATAAGGGCACTGTTAAGCAACAGTTAAGGCAGAGTCATAGAAACTCTTTTTACCTGGTGTTCTTTCAAGAAATCTATACCTACCTAACATCCCTGATAGGTTAGAGGAGCACAGGAAGTTGACTGTAAGCAGCCCTCACTGCTTGAGATCCACCTGATTCAGGGTAGCTTCTGTTCTCTTTTTGGTGCTTGGTACATAAATATTTGTTGACTGAATAATATGTACCAACTATAAGTTATGTGTCAGGTACTAGGCATATAATATCACATTTAACTTTCACAATGGAAAGAATGAAGGAAGGAATTACAGCACCTTTCTCCGAGGTAGCATTTTATTTTTAATCTACATGTATACAGAAAATTTATTTCTATAGTGAAACAATAGAAAACATTTCAATTGCACTCACTTGGAGTGCTGCTGGTCAGCAGCAGCAGATGTTTCTATGGTACTCCTTTGTAGCTTACCTTATTGTTCTGCCAGAGTCCTCATTTGAAACTGTAATTCAATGGATTCTACATACACAACTCACACTTGCCTCAAAAATGATGACTGAGAAACTACAGTAAAAGCATGATCAACCAGCAGATGGGGACAATAAAGAAGGAACTAGTTATTCCAATCTACTTAACCAACTATTAATTCAGGTCTGAAAATGACTAGGCCGGTGCTCTTTTGACCAGAGTACCAGGCATGCATGAATTACTGCTTCTAAAAGAGCACAAAAATTTTTTGGGGCCAGGGAAATGTGAAGAAATGGGTTAAGAAATGCTGTTTACAATTGGTTACCTAGACCGGTTCAAATTCTGAGATGCACATATTTTAAGAACATCATTTCAGTACTGCCGGCTGATTATCTCTTCAGTGGAAGATGAATGCCCATACCTTTAACTTGAGTTTAAGAGTTTCTCATCTCCTTGGAGGTTTTTCCTTTATGAACTCCACTTCTGTCATCCATCTTATTTAATCTTAAGTCTACTTCTAAGATAACCACGTTTTGCACTAGATTTAACAACACAGCACATACATCTTAATCAAAGTATTAATTCAATTCTACTAACACTAATGAATGTGGTAGAATTTGCTAGAACACTGCAATGCCAAATCCGTATATTTGGTTAGTCAGTGGAAGCTACCAGAGAGCCTTACAGCTAAGACAAAATTTATAACTACTCCTAGGAATTTCTTCACTTCCTTTCCTCGTCTTTTTCCTCATACTCTTTCTCACTCATGAAAAATCAAATGTGCAAAGAATTCAACTACACAAAATTCACAGGATGTTTACCATCACAATCCTCCTTGATAAAAGAAAGTCTAAGAAATTCCTCATGTCTAAGATATAGAAAGGACTGGGGAAGGAAAGCTATGAATAAACAGTAATGAAACAAACTAGCTGCACTACATACAATGGAATTACTCTAGTGGAAATCTAGCCTCTCTAAAATTCAATATCTAATATTAGTTTCTCTTTTCACAGACAACTACTGACTGTATACATTTAATTTTTATTTTACTTGAAACATTCTGACAAACAGCAAACAAAGAATTACAAAAGAGTGAATGAAGAATACATTGAAGGTAAGTAATAGACACTGGGAATGGCAGTACTGGGAATGAAGGTCTGACAGTACAGTGAAAGCTCAGAAATGATAGGAGTTCAGAAGCACAGAATTACGGAAGACAAAAGACATTAAAGGTGTCATAATTTTTTAAGAGTAAAGAACATTTCATAGAAAACTAGATTAATTGTAAAGTATAATTTTTCTTCCTTAAAAAATTTTCTTATGCAAATAACAAACACGTTAGAATGAAAGAATCTAAGAGTCACAAGGAGCTATAGTTATCGTATCATCTAATCCATTCTATTTTACAGATAAGGAAACTGAAGCCCAATGAGTAGCTTTGCTTGGCAATAAATACTTAAAGTTTTTCATACTTTTACAATATACGTTCATCTCCATTTCATTAGATACTCTGTCATTTACCAAACAGTAACTAAAAGAGACATTAGAGTCTAAGCTCTGAACCCAGCTGTCATTTTGTAGATTGCTGCAAAAAGGACACATAAAAGGTAAAAAGCAACATTTTTTTTTAAAATGTGAATTCCTCATTTTAGCTTTAGAATACCACCCATTCTTATAAAATTATTCTATATGGTAGGGAAACTGTAATCATAGACTGACAAAACTATGCTAACACAGTTATAAGAAATTAGATGTTTTTATAACCCTTAAAGATCTGTGCCATTTTTAAAGGGACTTACTTGTATACACAAAATACTTTTACAATATACTCCTGTTTCCTAAAACTGTCTTTAATGAGGAATAATAATATTAATTATATACTATGATCTTTTGATATTTTCTACTTATATATTTATAATTCGGGGGAAAATACACCAAAATATTAGTTTAAGAGAAGCCAAAATTTACCAGTGCCTCAAGTTATCTTTATCACTTTCTACTGTACCACAGGTAAGGTAACCATGACATAAAATCAATATAACAGAATGAGTGCCTATTCTTCATAATGTGTTCAAGTTGTTTGGCTGGACATAATCAGGTCAAATTTAAAGTTTGTTACTTCAATTCCAAATAATGTGGTAATACATTATTCCAAAATGTTTTGGAACCTGGTGGCCCATTTTCTAAGAGTTGCTTTGACTGCACTGGCATTTTGAACCTCTGTACTTCATGCTCTTTCCCCTTTCCCTCCCTGTTAGTAATAAACTTTTTTGGATATGTTTTATCTTTGTCATATTTCACAGATCCTCTCATCTTGCTCCCTTTGCTGGATTCTCTTCCTCCACCCTGTCTTCCCTGCCTTCCACTTTCTTCATTGCCTCTCTCCTGGTACTTTCCCTCCTCTTCCTCATCGTCCTCCTCTTCTTCCTTCTCCCCTTCTCTCCTGCTGTTTTCTTCCTCTTTCCTTTCGCTCACTGCCCCCTCCTTCTTTTCCCTTTCCTCTCCTTCCCCCTCTCCCTCTTCCTCTTCTCCTCCTCCTTCCCCCTCCTCTTCCCCCTCCCCCTCTGCTTCCTGCCCCTC